TGTGTGTAAGTGTGTGACTCAAAATATCCGCAGTGTAATAGATCGGCGCAGCTTCCCCCTCTACATTTCTCCCTGTCTCGTATCCATATTATTATTGCTGTCCACTTAAGTTATTTTCGCATTGCACTAATCGCAATCTTTCATTATGTAGGTAATTATTCGTTTCTCTAATTATTAGGTTCTTGCACCTGCATGAGTTACTCTAGCGAAGCTCAATTCATTTCTGATGAGAAACATTTAGTCGCTTTTGTTATCTTTTACGCCACGGATCTAAATATCCTTATACATCCAATGTATTTTCTTGTATTAATAAATAAAATTCTCAATTTCTTCCGTTATATTATTTCTTAGTATTGCTTAATTTTTCTTTGTAATAAAGATCTCATTTCAATTCTTGTATTACTAAATCAAATTTTCAATTTATTTCGTTATAGTATTTCTTTATCGCTCAATTTTTCTTTGTAATATACATATCATTTAATTTTATTTTTTTAAATAAATAATTAATGTTTTTTTCTGCAGGATTCCGATCGTGTTCTCCCAACCCATGCAAAAACAACGGACAGTGTGTGTCCAACTCCCGCGGCCAGTCATACTGCGAGTGAGTACCTACTTTTCCTTTATAATGTAGGGGGAAATTTTAAAAATGGTTCTTCAAGATTGGTCCAGCCATATAACTTGACCAGCTGCACAATATCAGATAAATGTAAGAGGAAAATCTAGTTAAAAATGTTCAGATTCAATCTATACGCAAATTTTATAAATGGTTCTTCTTATATTCAAGATTGATCCAACCTTGTAACTTGACCATGCAGCTCCACAATATCAAATAAATATAGAAAGAATATCTAGTTTTAAATTTTTAGATTCAATTCATTACGTGCGCTTATTCATATATTGCCCGTCTTGAATTCAACCCTGCAGTTTTATGCTCTAATTACCTAAGTATCACCTATACTTTCCGCTGCATTTAGTTGTTCCGTTTACTCTCTTCAGATTAACTGTCTGTCACTGTTACATCTTTTAGCGTTTTTGTGCTGCGCGCAAGTAAATTTTCTCAAGCGTTAGAGCGGCTATTATCATTCACCGTTCATTACCTCCCAAATTGAGCGCATGAATTGAGCGCATGAGGCGCTTGAATTTGGCATGAATTAAGCGTATGAACCTGGCATGAATTGAGCGCATGAGGCGCATGAATATGGCCTGAATTTAACGGAATGAATGTGAACGTCAAGAAGTGCAGTAAAAAATCTCTCTCAAACACTCGAGTTAAGTTTTCAAATAATTTTATATTACTAAAGATGAATTTATGCGACATGAAAATATGACATTGATGCCTTATTTTCATGAGTGAGATCGCATTGCATAGTTGAGCTGACATCCGTTCGAGGAGGAAGCCACAATTGTGGGCCCAAGTGCCACCGTTGGACCACAGCGGCTGTGGTGGCTGTAGTGCTCATATCTTTAAATAAAATGATGATGATGGTGATTTTAATATTTAATGCAAGGACTACTACACACAGGACATGCATAGCCTATGTCCAGCCTCTGCTAGCAGAGGCGATCGCCTACACTATGAAAATGCTGGTGTTTTAGTGGCATCAACAAATGATATGCCCATAATTGTTTCATACAATAGTATTACAATGTGTGTAGTAGTCCTTGGTCAGAACCATAGACTTTTTGCCAGTTTTGAAGTTCAAAATTTTGTACTAAGCAAAGTAGGTACCATTTTCCTGCCTTCATACACTGATAAAAAAAATATTTAAATGGAGTG